TTTTTTTGGCGGAGAGGGAGTGGGATGGGATTTTGTTTCTATCCTGAGAATAAGGAGAAATCAGAAATAGAGTGAGGTGGGAAATTGAGACAGGAAGAAGCTTTAAAAAAGCATGAGGTCTAGATGTGTAGTAGCACTTCCTCTTTATCCACTGTAATCAGGTCTATCTCTGGCTTTAAGTCCATGGAGCTACATGCCATTAATGCTGAACCAGGACAACCCTAGAGACCCTCCTTGTCTCTTCTCTTTGTATTATTTGATTTTCTAGTCTCCTCTTTTAGCATGAGATTACCTTTGCTATAGGCTTTTCTGGTGTCCACCCTTGCAAGTGGTGGATAGTTTTTAATTTGACGCTGGAGTACCTGTCCATCTGCTGAGGACTGCCATTTCATCTGGCCTAACCTGCAGCAGCCTCAGTGTCAGGTTGCTGCTCCCTTTCGGGAGAGGCAGTCTCTTGTGAAGGTCACAGCCATGTGGGTTGCCCAAATCGTCTGCTACCCAGCCCCTTTCCCACCCAGTCCAAATGCCTTTTTCCGGTGATGTGCCTGACCTTCTCCAGCTGAGAGACCTCTTGTTCCTTACCCAAACACCTTTGGTGCTGGGGACAAGGGCTGCTGCCTGGTCAGGGGATTCATGTCTTCTTTTGATGACATTGACTTCTGTTATCAAGGAATTTGCACAAGCTTTGGCTCCCACCAGGCATCCATGAGCAGAGAGAAGAACACAGCCTGCTTCAGACTTAGTGCTGGAACAAAGTGTTTGGGGAAAAAGCATCAAAGGATATCTTTCTTATAGGTTAAGTCATTCTCTTTTTTTTTAAAATGTAGTGGTTTGCTGGGGTAGTTTTCTTTCTATGTCAAATAAACCCCACTTGAAAAATGGCATGAGTGGCTCCTAATAGTTAAGAGGGAGCTCTGCCAGCTCCGAAAATGCACTTAAAAATGAGTGGGAAGGGCTAGTTTAGCTGCCTTGTCAGGTTTGGAAATGCATTTGCTTCGTGTGAAAACTGCTTCAGATATTATGCTTTTCGTTGTTCATGTGGGCTGTTTTATTCCTCACCCCCATAGATCAAGGATACTTTCCTTAGGACATACACCGAAGCAATCCAAAATTACAACAAGAACGATGAGCGGAGCCAAGCAGTGGATAACGTACAGGAAAGCGTAAGTCTAAAATTGGGTATTAAAAATTAATACATAGAGACAAAGCATACATTCAGATTTGATCACAGAACATAAGTGTGGATGGCTCAATCTGCAGGCTGTATATTGCAAGCAAAATGAGAGGCTGGCAGAGCTGATCTGAAGAAAAAGTATTTCAACTGATACGCTTGTCCAAGATGCCTAAGTTTTAGTGAACAAACTGTCTGTAATAAAGACAGGGCCCATCCCTCTTGCTTCTTGTTGGTCCTAGATCTTGAATTAGGTTTAGGAACCAGTTTCATCCCTTAAGAACAAGGTGTTCTCAAGGGAATCTGTCAATAGGATTATGAAATTTGAGCCAGATGAGACAGGATTTTATAATCTAGCATCCTATATCACTGATAAACTGCAGCAGTTCTGTTCACAAATACAGTGAGAGGCTGGCAAAGGAGACGTAGTGAGTTAATGAAAGAAATGGAGTGTATTTTCTCCAGAGGAAAAGGGGATGGACAAATGTGCTGCTGAGTTTGGCAATGAAAGCTGTTCTCCGGCCGTGCTGGAGGGACGAATTAGGTGCTTAGTGGAAGAGCCTTTCTGACCCACGGGGCACGGTTGCAGGGCAACGAGAGGTTTTCTTGCCTTCCAGCAGGGCACAGGACACAAGCAAATGCCACAGCTTGGCCAAGTAAGATGCCAACCACAAGGGACCAAGTCCACCAGCTACAGCACAGAGTGATAAAATTCACATTTCCTGCTGGAAACTGTACCATAACAAGAAACTATCCCTTCAGCTCACAATACATACAAAACAAATACATTTGCTTTTCATATGATTGTAACTTACTGAACAGCTGAAATTTTAATGTAATTGTATTGATGACTTCTGGGTCTTCTTTTACATCTGTTATGTCAAAGTCCTCAGCATGTTTGGAACTATGCCTCTAACCTCTCTAGCCAGGCTTCTCCTGGTTAGCAGATTACTATACCTGTCTAAACTGAGTATATTCTGCCATCAAATTGTCTGCTTGCTTAATGTTAACCTGTATTGTGAAGTTCTGATTCCTTGGAGTTGGCTAAACTAAATAGTTTTGAGTAATTGTGCAGTATTTCTGTCACAGCAAGATGTTCATTTCGTTGGTAGCTCTGTTTTCACAGGAACTGCATTTATAAGACCTTTTCATGCAGAAAATTCAGCACATGCTCCATATCTTTGAGTGACTGTCTTCCAGCTTAGCATCTAGAGCAGAACATCCTTCCCAACTTAGGGTTTTTCAACTGATTTCATAGACATGCTTTATGAACATATGGTCTCGTTCTATTCATGGCTCAGTGAATTTTCCTAGAAATTATTTTGGTGAGTTAGAGAGGCTTGCTTCACCTTAGCAATTTGTACTAGTTTGACCCTGTATGTGCTACATGTAATTCTGTGTAATGATTTGGGTTTTTTAAGGCCATTTTTGTGGACCACATTGCAAGGCTCTGTTTCGGATTTCCAGGAGCATCTTTAATTGAATGAATAAATAAGGAAAGGAAACAAACAAACAAACAAACAAACCCCAGATCTTCCACTAAAAAAGATGGGTTTATGGCTGGATCTTTGTCAAATGTTACAAATAATATCTCTGCTTATAAAACACCTTTTTTTTTAGAAGGTCACCTGCTCCCATCTTCTGTAAATATCACTCCTGATACTTTTGTGATAAATGGAGCAGGGGGTGGCATCTACTTTCAAAGACTGGAGACAACCTGTCTATATTTTGATTATGAGCTTATTAAGTGGGCAGTGATGATTCTGAACTAGTTTTAATTCTGGTTGGTTGGTTTGTTTTAAATCTGCCTCTTATTCCTCGTAGCTGAGCTGCTGTGGCATTCAGAGCTACACCAACTGGAGCACCAGCCCTTACTTCTTCAAACACGGCATCCCTACAAGCTGTTGCATGAACTCCAGTGACTGTAACACTCAGGATCTGCGCAACATGACCGTGGCTGCCACTAAAGTAAACCAGAAGGTACCAATAGCGTTGTGACAGAGGCAGTTGTGAAACCAGTCAGTACCCCAGTGGAGCGTATGGCTGCTTGCAATAGCATTTCGTTTCAAACAGTTGGTTAATAACGTATGTACTGGGCTGGAGTGATGGTAAGGATGGGCTTTTCCCCCAGCTTGCTTTCAGATTCTCTAAGCTATCCTCTCTCAAGTGACCAGGTGCAGTGATGTTTCTGATAAGGAGGGGATTTGCTCCCCTTCCTCACAGCAGAGGTTGAGGTAATGCTGGTTGGGCACAGGACCAGTGCCCTTGACTCCCCGTGAGGGTTAGGTCAGTCAGCACTTCTCTGCTGACTGCTGCTGAATGCGGTGGGGTTTTGCTGAGGACAAAGATGTAGCTAGGTGGAAGGGAGGACAGGTTTTACTCTTGCTTATGTTCAAACAGTAATTTCAGTGCCAGAGCTGAACTGTCAACCCAAACAGAGAAAACACAAGTGGTAGACAACAAGCGTTGTGGTTGGGTGGTACATTTACAGGGACTCTTAAGAAGATCTTCGGACACATGCTGCTGCAAGCATAGTGCAGCCAAAGTGACCCATCCCCTGGGGTCCTCTGAAGGAGCCGGTTGGGAAAACAGGAAGAAAAGGAATAATTGGAGAATAAAAATACAGAAAACACAAAGAAAAGGAGGAATAAAGAGAAAACAATGCAGCTATGTAGCAGATGCTGCACTGCAGAAATACAATTCAAGTTATTGCTTTAAGTGCTAGCGCATCATCAATTCTTTCTTTCTCACTGGAGATTTGCAAGAGAGGCAACAGACAGTTTGTTGGTAAAAGGAATATTGTGACCAAATCGTAAGTTGCAGCATGGCTTAGTCAGACTTAAGGATTATTTTCTCTTCTGTTTTGGTTTTTAGAGCTGAATTTAAAAAAAAAAAAAAAATAAAGTCCTGAGTAGATAACAGGGTAAATATAGAAATGTCTTTCTGCCTTCTCTTTTTACCTCAAGTCATCTGTGAATCAGGAGGTTCGAGTGGTGACTGAGCATGGACTGGAACATCTTTCTTTGAAAACCAGTCAAGTGGACAACATTTTCTAGCATGTATTAAAAAAAAAAAAGATACTAGAGGATTATTTTCCTCTAAGCTTTCATTTTCTGTAATAGTTTAATGAAAGCCACTTGTTGCAGACATATGTGGAACATTAGTGTCATCCATTAGTTACGAAACTCACAGTTGCCACCAGCAAAGTAATCTTTCTGTGTTGCATGAGTATGAAGGATGAGCTGCTCCGTTCAGTCCGTTCAGTTGCACTTTGTGAACTGTGTGGATCTAGGCACTGTGCGGTACAGCCAGCATCCCCTGCAAGCAGGGTGCCTCCTGGGCAGCCCGTCCCGAGCCCCTGCTTCTGCCCACCTTCCCAGCAGGAAAGCTTTCTGGTGTGACTGGTACCTTACCAGCAGGTCCCACCGTTCCAGTTCAGGATGGCCATGCACTCTGAACCTTTCCTGGCTGCATAACTGAGCAGGTGCTGTTTGCATTCTCAGCACTGATCTAGCGTTTCCCTAAAGTGCCGGGCTTGCTCTGCATGCTCTGCCTACACAGAGAAATCCCTGTCCACTTGTGAGTTCCTCTTGACAAAGGATGCCTGCAAAATTGTAGGAAGCAGCTGAGGGATGAATGAGCTTGTTCTAGTCCAGGTAGTACGTTACCATGGCTAGTAACTCACTTCCAGCCGTGCTTGCTCCTAAGCATCTCTCCTGCTAATGCACAACTTGCCTGACAGAAGAGGAATGTTGATTCCTCAGGAAGCAGTTGACTTTAATTTCTGGATTTAATTACCTAGGGGAAGTTAGAATGTCCTGCAACATCTGAAAAATGGTGTCCCTTTTTCTGATATAGCCATTTGTAATCAAAAGTTGTAAAGATTTCTGTTTAGTAAAGTTGTAAAGATTTCTGTTTAGCAGTTGTGAGATCTCTGAGTTGTGCCAAATGTTTGAGCAAGGTGCGATGTTTCTGAAAGGGACAGGAGAATGAAAAGCAAGCAGGAGGAAATGTTGTGTGGCCTTATGCTTTCCCTTCAGATGATAGGACATAAACATCATTGCCCCTGACTCAAGCCCCTTGCTCATCTTGGAAACAGGCACTTGGTTCTGTGTGTGTTATGGAGGAAAAGGAAAATACGTATTGTCTGTGTTGTAGAAGACCCTATCCTGTAGATAAGTGTATTTGGAATACATCTTTTTGGTGGATCTTGCAAAACTATCAGTAAGACAAGTGCTCGATGGGCTAACCAGCAGTTTATGAGGACTACTGATGAATTTTCCAAAGGGGATTAAACTAATGATCTAACTGCAGGACTAAAAGACAACATTCCTGGATTTTCTTTGCCAACTCTGCCACTAACTTGCTTAGTGACCTTGGGTAAATCATTTAGTCTCTCTCTCTCTCTGTTTCTTCATCTCAGATGGGACTAATACATAACTTTAAGAGCTGTCATTAGGATTAGCTAATTAATGTTCATATAGTGCTTTTAATCTTCAGAGCTCATTACCAACAAATCTCAAGAAATACTTCTCTCTAAAATCTTAGTAAAGGGACAGATGCATGGACTGAAGAATGATCGGATACTTGCTAAATTGTCACTTCTGTCCTCTGAATCACCATCCAGATGTGCGCACACAGTGCTTCACATACTTCTGTGCTGTATATGCAACTCTTGGGTGCTTCTTGCACTCTCACTCCATGCACAGTAAGGACTGAGCAATTAAGCCGTATTTATGCAATGCACTTTGGGAAAGAGATTATTGTGATTTGGGAAAACATAATCTTCAAATGAGGAGAGCGATCAAAACTATCTCCCTTTCATGTTTTTTTTAATGAGATCTTATGTGTCCCTCAAATTACCATTGCTGTTAGATGTTGCATCTCTTGAAGGCTATTGAGCAGAACAGATTTCAGAAGAGCTGGGAGGACATACAGCCATGCCAGACAGAATGAAAGCACTGCTTGAGAAATCTAATCTCATTTCATAACATGTAAGACACATACAACTATAGTGGCTTGATGTGTTAAATAAGCAAGCTTGAATCTGACATACTGTACACTGTTGTAAGACATAATTAAGGATTAATATGTACACTTAAACATTTCAGAACTGAATTACAGCTGTGCTCGTCCCCAGCTACTATTAGCTTTACCACTTCATTACTCTCAGGATTAAATAAAATGTCTTCTGATGTTATACAAGAGGTTAAAGAAATGATACAATTTAGTTCATGAATGGCCTGTCTGTGACAAAGGACATCATCCTTTTCTTCCAGCTGTTATTTTTTACAAATAACTAATGCTCTAAAGTCATGTAAAGAGCTCCTGAAGTGTTCGCAGAAGTGAGAGAGGGGTGCGGATGGAGGGGGAATGCAGAGACAATTCTCTCTTATGGGGCAGGAGTCCAAACTGGGAAAGGGAATTCTGTTATTTCTGGGTTTTCCAATTTCTGATAAAGTAGATAAAGTTAAATTAAATGAAACGCCTTGGGACTGGCTTTACACTGAGAGTGGTGTTGGTCATTTGGGGATGTGTGGCCAAGAGGTGGCTTTGATTGTGTGGGCAGAAGATAAGTTAGTGATGAAATTAAAAATAGACATTATCATTTTTTTTCTTCAAGTTTCGCATCACTTGTTTAGATTCATTTAGACACTACAGACTAGGAAGGAGTATTTCAAATGTTTTTTTGAGCAGTAGAATAGGTGAGGGGAGAAACTTGCTGAAAATTATCATACTGAGAGGAACATCTCAAAAAAACTTATCTAAGAGAAGGACAGAAATGTGTATGAATCTTTTGGCCCTGGTGTGGGCTGTGAATTGAGGCACAAGGAAGCAAGTCAGCTAATGGAGTCAGGGTCTGAGCTAGAGAGAGAAAATTGAGTTTGCGGAGCAGAACAGGGAATTTTATGTTCAAGAGCAAATAAAGCAAGAAACTTCTTACAAAACCTTTATAATCTTGTTATATGGTTTAAAGTTATATACTACTCAGTACCTTGCCTGGTGTCCTTTGACAGGCAAAGGCAAGCAGAATGCATCACTGGACACCTTGTATTAAATATCTGGAGTATTAGGAGATGAACATCATTTATTCATTTTTAATACCCATATTGTAATATAACATTACCTTATATTGTTACTGGTTTGGTTTCAGGTCAAACCTGTGTTCACGTATTTTAAAACAATGCGAACTGACTTTCTTTAATGAAAGACCTACAAAAATGAGTGCAACATCACATTTAGCTTTTAAAAGCACTGGAATACATTTGTTTCTAAAAAGAACTGGTTTTGCCATCACTTTCCATCATTCACTCAAAATTGCTCTTAAATAAAAAGGTGACATTGTTGGAAATTACAGCAAAAATATTGTCTAGCCCAAGTATATTTTAAATGAGAAATTTGTATGTATGCATTTGTGGCAGGGAAGGTCGATACAAGGAATGATTATGTTTGTTTTCCAGGGCTGTTATGACTTGGTGACCAGTTTTATGGAGACAAATATGGGAATCATAGCTGGAGTGGCTTTTGGGATCGCGTTCTCACAGGTAAGGGCATAAACACTTCCCTTCGCTGCTTTCTTTCCCCCTCTCTCTTTTTCTTTACCCAGACTTCAAGGAAGGAAGGATTATGGAAAGGGATTGAACTCAGCATGCTCATTAGTCCTGAGGTCATCTGTTCATTGATTTTCTTTTTTCAACTTAAATGAAGTTTCTCCTTGGGAATATCAGTTACGGTTGAGCTAATGACTAGCGTAAGGAAAACAACTTGTCCCTCCACTGGGTCAAATAGAGGTTAACCCAATAAAACATTGGCTTAAATGGAGCATAAACAGCTAAGAAGACAAATAGCTTATCCATTGTTTGGATAGGCTTCTATCTTCTAAGCACCCTTATTTTTTCTTAAAGGAGTCTAGAATTCAAATAAGAGTGTACCTTCAGGCCTCCCCATCCCAGACTTGAAGCCTGGAGGGGGCAACTGGTTTTGATGACTGATTTTATTTTTTTTCTTTTAGCACTGAACCCTGAGCAGAAATCTGCCAAAATGAGATTATTAAACCAACTCCTTGCCTGCACCAAAAGGAGTTTGACATGGGAGGGACAAGAGGAGAGCTAAGAAGGTGTTTGCTGCTCCCTGCTATTCAGACTGCCTTTACTTAGACAGGAGTTGGGGAAACTGAAGGTCTGGTTAGAATCTTCTTATCAAGAAAGGGCGGGAAAACACCTGCATCTTTCAACAAGGTGTTCCTTTATACTAGTCACTTTGTGTGTGATGGCAAGGACTCTCCTGGAAACATACGAAATGCAAAAGTGCTTGCCGAATGGTTCAGCAAAAACACACAGCGACGTGTATGATTCCTGAAGCACTTCCACCTGAGAGGCAGTCTGCCTTTTCTCTACAGAGAGTACACAGTACGGCTGCAAATGTTGTATTCTAAAACGATCATGCAACTTTCATTTGCTTCATTCACACAGTATTAAAAATCTGGATCCTGAGGCAACACTGAAAATATGAATATATCTGTTGAATGAATTATGTTTATCCAGTGGTTGGAAAAAATGAGGTGCTAGGAAAAATTATTTGACAACTTCTTAAAACTCATTAATTCAGTTAGCAAGCTGTACGTTTACACTGTGCTGCACTGGAAATGAGTGCCAATACTGTTGCCGTAATGGGCAAGTGAATTAGCGAGAGGGCTGCAGCTGCCTTCTTGCCCCTGCTGCCCGGTGTGGTCAGCCCATGCTCAGCTGCACGGTGTTCTAGTCACATCTCTCTGAGGTTTAGTTTGCTCAGCAGTTACAGTGGCCTCCAGGTTCTTCAGAGGATCTGCCCCCAAGCTGTGTGGAAAATGGCCACCAGGTCCTCTTGGTCAACTTACACACAACCCGAGGGAGCCCTAAAACTGTTTGGGATCCGACCAGCCGACTGCTCTGCCTTGGGCATATCTGGAAACCTGATGCCTTCTAGCCTAGGTGTTAGATGTGAGAAGCCCACGATTTCGCCTGTCAGTCTGCTTCATGTGGGCGTAAACATTGGTTCATCGTACCACCAGCCACCCAGAGCATGTGTGTGGGTGTCAGATCTCTGGGATCCAGAAGCGGTGAAACCACCAGTCTGGAGCTGTTGGTGCATGGAGCAGAAGGAGTTTTGTTTTGTTTGGGTTTTTTAATAGGCTATTCTAGTTCTTGTTGAATCGTCATGGTTGTCTTGATACTCTTCTCCAACCTTGATTATGACTTGATTACTGCTGTAGCACTCTTAGCTCTTCTTTCAGCTTGGTTTGTAGATAGCCAGCAGGCTATAAAGCATCTTTTAAAATGCTTCATGTAAAACTATCCAAAAGAAAAATGAGATGAGTAGAATTTCACAGTTCATATGCTGCTGGGACAAATGCCTCAGTCAGGACCAATGCTACCTGAAAGCCTTTAGTCGGTGTATCGTATGTACAATAGGCTAAGCATCATCTTACCTTGCCTGAAAGTTGTTTGCAGCTGGGAGGGAGACTGTGGGAAGAGTGCGGCTGGAATTGTTAATATTTTGGCACATGCCGGGATGTTTACTCTAGGTCATCAGCGGTTTGTGAGCTTGACACAGGAAGGCCGGCAGGCAGAGCGTGGTCCCTGCCACGGGAGCCCTTTGGCGCAAGGCGAGGTTAGGGAGGAGGGCTGCAGGGAGCACGGGGAGCAGGGAGAAGGCGCTTTGCTGCTGTGGCTCCGAGTAAAAACCAAGGTATGTTTTGATGTGGCATTGACAGCTCACACTGCCCGATGCCAGCTAGGGACGTGGCTCCCTTGCGTAAGCACAAGGCTCTGGCGTGCCAAGCAGATATGCAGCTGCTTGGGATGTTTGGGAACACGTAGAAAGGAGAAGAGAGGGGATGCAGGGGAGAAAAACGTGTCTCTCCTGAGGTGTGAAGAGTGAAGGCGGCCAGTTGCTATTTACTGCCTAATCTGTTTTGCTGGACCCAATTAGGGACAGTGTTTACAAATTGATTTCAGGTTAACCGTGGCTGGCAGTAATGCCAGGCAGTGCTCCAGCTGTAGGCGAGGTTTTGCTGTTCCTACTGAGAATAGGTTTAATCTAAATAAAAGGCAAATTAGATCATGTTGCTCTTCTACAGTAAAGCGTGCTCAAGGGCCTTTCCTTCACATGATTTGTTAGGTGTTGACTAGTATGGGGAATGTGCCGATTCCCAGAAATAGAGAAAGTTGATGTAATGGCATTGCACATCTTACAGGCCTGGCACAGACCTCCCAGTCAGAGGCAGAGTTTTTAAAACTGCTGTGTTGATGACATTATCTGCACTCCTCCTTGGGTTTGAAATAATGATAACAATAATAAAATAAAATTTGATTGTTTTTTGGAATCAGATCCCAATGCTGACTTCCAGCTGGAGTAATTTTGGTTTAGCAGGTGCTCTTCAGAGCAGCAAAATGATTGTTCTGTTGTGCCCAACAGAGAATAAAATTATGCAAGCAGCATAGATGATGAGGTGTTTTGTCTAGATAGAACTACTGCACAGGCGTTGGCTTAAAGGGCACAAGAGGCAGGGTTTGGAGGGGATTTATGGATTGTGGTTGCAGTAGAGTCCCTGGGTAGGGCAGTCTCAGTGCAGTGTTAAGGCCAAATCATTCCTTTTGTACTGAAGGACTGGAAGCCAGGCGCTCTCCACATGCTCAAAACCAGTTCCTGAGCATGCACAGTTCCCGTCATTTGAAGGTATGTTCTCATGTGGCTACAGTCCTCTCTACAGTGCAGCGTCCACCTGCCCTCTTTACTTTTAACGTTAATACGAATAGCTCTGCCTGACTGTGGATGCAGTTCTGGTGCAGATGTTATCCACCTTGTCTGCTGCGATTCCTGTCTGACTATATATATCGGGAGGCTGAGACTTGGCTTTAGCACAGGGTTACACCTCAGTCACCCTTTGCACTAGGGTTAGGGAGCGGGATCCGTATTGGGATCCAATACGTGACTTGAAATCTAATATAAGACTAATTTTGTTGGTTCTAAATACTAATCACTGAGGTTCAGCTTGGGGATAGGACCTGTGCCAGAGGCATACCATGGCACAGGAGGCTGACTCAGGTAAGCGATTTGTGACATGGAAAATCTGCTGGCAGGGAGCCTGGATTCTTGAAGTTCTGTGTATTGAAAATATGGCAAGGTAAATCATTCAACTAAACAATTATTCCTGATGGATAAAAAAAATCCAGTTTTAGGTTACCTGATCCACTGATGAATTCAGTTAGTTCAACATATCTATACTTATAGAAATTCTCTCAAAAGATAAGAAATGGTGAAGATACCAAGATCCAAAGTAAAATGGAAATTCAAATTACACTTCCGTTTCTCTTCAGTATAATAAAATGTAATAGATATGTCATGCAGGACAGCTTCCAGTTAAGGTTAACTCCTGCAAAATAACTATATTAAAAATCTAGTTATCATGTTTGTGATGGGAGATAAGATTGCTTGGAAGTTGCTGTGGATGGATTTCAGTGGTCAGATCTGAGATATGCATGAGATGACTGCTAGAAACCACGGTGAGATGAACACATGCACTGCGTTCTGCTCTCTGGAATGAGCTTTGGCCAACAGGATGGTAATAAAGAAGACATGCCTGAGGGATATAGATTTACCAGCAGTGCTCAAATCCAAATAATGTGTCAGCATTTTCAGCTTTCCTGCAGCAAGACCAGAGGTACCAAGACAAACTGTTTTCTGTGTAATAGTTCAGAGGACCAAGATAATCTTGGAAAAAGGAGAAGAAAGGGGAGAAATGAGAGAGAATACAAATGTGGAACCAAGCCTGGCATCTTAGCACTCAAAAAAACTGGGACTATTAAAAAAAATAAATTAGTAAGTGGATAAAAGTTACGATGGGGCACTTGAGAGACAATGAGAGCAAAGGGAAATGAATGCCACTTCTCGCAGCTAGTTTCTTTGCAGGGACGCTTTTATGCCCGTCTCTGGTTTTTCAAATTTGCTGCAGGGACCTGCTGCACAACAGGATAAGGGGCTTCCTCCTGACTGAAGAGCAGAGGTGGCAGGTGATCAAGCAAATGCAGAGGGCAAGACAGGGTGGAGAGCACTCACTGATGGATTGCAGATTGGGAGCCTCTAACCTGATCTAAACACAGAGGACTGTAGTTATGAGTGTAATGAAAGAGCATCATGAGGGAAATTCAGCAACTTAATACAGTATCGCCTCTTCTGGGCTACAGGAGGGACAGTACTCTTGTGGTTAAACATGGAAGTCTACACACCTTAGAAAATAGATGGCTTTATATGTGTACAAAGTACTTCTGAGATATTTATTATAGCTCTGCTGTGTTCTGGTAATAGAAATGCTGTATAAAATGTGTATTCAAAGGCTCAGTATGCATGAAATTATTTTTGAAATACAAAAGTTTAATATTATGGTACTACTACTGCTTAAATGCATAAACCAGCATATGCTCAGAGCCAAGAATTAATAAGTGAGCCAAAGATCAGAAGGATAGATTCATGTGTAACCTGTCATTCGTCTTACGAGTGACTTGAGTAAATCAAAACATTGTCACGTGCCTGCAAATGCTACAAAGCTTAGACACACTGAGTATTAGAGTTATAGCCTGTGTAAAACAGAAGAATTCCTAATTAAAGCTAGCTGGGGAGATCTGCTGCAGCTGAGGGGGGAAAGAGAAGCCTGTGGCTTCTCATTTGTACAGGCTGCAGCACCTTTGGCCTTGTAAACCTGATAAAAGCAGCACATTGTGGCTGGGAACAATGATGACCGTAATCTGGGTGCTTGTGATGGGAAATAATAGGTACCTCGGCACAGGCTTTAAAAAAAACCAAACAAACAATGTAAACTTGAATGTACGCACATTGTAGGCCATTGTAGGAGGAGGGAGGAACTCGTTTGGGTCTGTGATGGAATTTGTTCAGTGAAAATAAATAGGATGAAATTAAATGATCTTTGAGGTCCCTTCCAATCCTAACCATATGATTCTACGATTCCATGAAATACGCCGTGAAGTAAGAAAAATGCAGTAAGGCAGAGAAGTAATCTCTCAGACCTACTGAGGGAGGTGAGAGAAGGCTAAAAGGTACCACAAACACAGAAAAGGGGTAGCGAAGTGGGTGGGACAGGGCCACCCGGAGGCATGTACTCTATTCTGCCTGTCAGAGCGTGGAGAAATACATACCAGGGATGTGCTATGGGAAACCTCATTCTCCAAAACTGAATTGAGCTAATGGAACATTCCACGAGCAGGCAGTGGGAGTGTTAAAGACTAATAAACCTACTGAATGTAGTGGGGTTTCAGTAACGCTTCCCAAACGGACAAATTGATAAAAATCATCCTTCTGGTGACTGGAATATTTAAGTGTGGATATCCAAAGCCCAGCCAGAATACGATTTGTCACCGGTCCATGGACTCCTGGGCGAGTGCTTGAGCCTTCCAGCTGCCAAATAAGTTTCTTGCTGGAACACCCGTCTTGAGAGAAAAGGCAACCAGATGGCTAAAATATCTTCTTCGTATCAAGTGAGATTTTCCAAAGCTGAGGAGAGTTTCCAGCACCCACATCTCTTTTGGCAGCTGTGAAAATGCAGCCCCAAAACCTAGTAGCTTAGATTTTTATCAGAGGTTGGTCAGGAGGTGTTATCTGTGCCTCACGTCTAGGTATAACCAAGGCAGTGTCATCCGTGGTATTTGTTGCCAGAATGGGGGGTTGCATGTGGGGAACAGTGGGGATTCACACTGCTTTTAAAGATGACTCCAAGCCCTTTTGAGGTGCCCAGAGCAGTCCTGGTGGACACTGAAAGAGGAAAGGGAGCGGCAGCAACAAACTTCTGACAAAAGACATATGTCCTGACCAGAAACGTGACATCTTAGGGGCAGAAAGCAGTTTATCTGGATTTGAGGTGCCCTGGCTTGGTCTTGCTCTGGGCTGATGCCAGCTCAAATCAAGCAATTAGCTGGTAGAGAAGATGTATATTTTGATGATGATCATGTTACCAGGGAGCACGGACAGACTAGGGGAAAGGAAATGCAACCCCAAATGTGAAATAGAAGAAGGAGCTGGTTTGGATGAGCAGCCAGCCAGGCATTATCTACATGTGCTCTGAGGGGTCTGAGGGAGCTCCGCTGCTGCTGCCAAAAGGTTGTGATCTCCCTCCTTCAGCTCTGCTCCCTTCCGATGTGGTCTGCCCACAGCAGGAGGAGGCAAACAGAGGTGGTGGCCCACGGGCCCAGGTGAGCAGCGGTGACAGCCCCTGCTTGGAGCCAGGCCCAAGGAAGGCTGGTCTGTCTGCAGAGATGGCCCTCTCACCTCACCCCCATAGCCTGGGATGAGCTGTAACAATCTGGATATGCTTATGTGTTAATTAATTGACAAATCCAAATGAGAAAAGAGAGGCTGAATTATTTATAGTATATTAACGCTGTTGGCATGTGCAGGAAATGCTAACAAACTGCAATAGGCAAAACGTTGAAATGACTGAGTGCTTATTGACGAGTGGAAGCCAGGGATCTGTTTTCAATAATCTGAGTGACATCCGAGGGAATAGTGAAAGACTTATTTTATTTATTTTTTTTATTTCCAGATTTATAACGCTCATTTCTCTGGTGCTGCATCATTTGTAGAGAAAGCATAACCACTCTGAGACATTAGGAAGCTTTTCCCCAGCCTACGGTTAACAAAGTTAGCGGGACCACCAACTCTCGGTGGTGGTGGGTGGTGGTGAGAGACCCAGGTGGAGCTTGCAAGTGAACTGCAGCCAGTAGTGAGCTGATGCCAGTTTACCCATCCATGTCTGACTTGGCCAGGAAATGACAATGGGATTGAAAAGTAGCAAAAAAGCATGCTGCCCATCAAATAAATATGCTCTGATAAAAATCAAGAGGAAGATCTGACGAAGAAAGCCAGGAGATTTTAATGCTATTTTTCTGATTAGAGCAGTCCTTAAAATAAGGTATAAATTCTGCAGTGCATAATAACTCCAGAACATGAAATCTCTGCTCACTGTGGCCTCTCCTTTACTCTGTGTTCATTTAACTTAACTTCTTCTATTCTGCTTCTGTTCTTGTCCCGAACAGTTGATCGGGATGCTGCTGGCATGCTGTCTGTCACGGTTTATTACTGCTAACCAGTACGAGATGGTGTAACAAGGTGAGCTTTCCGTGCTTTCCATGGGGTATGCTGTATACACCCTGGTATATTGTCATGGCTGCGCTGCTTCTACTAAAGATGGCAGGCAACTTTTAGATGCTCAGCATGTTCATCGAGAATTAAGTCTTCCTATGGCATTCTTTGCTTTGGGATTTGGAGCAAGTCCAGAGGAGAGCCACAAAGATGATCCAAGGGCTGGAGCACCTCTCCTATGAAGACAGGCTGAGAAGCTGGTATTGTTCAGCCTGGAGAAGAGAAGGCTCCGAGGAGATCTTCTAGCAGCTTTCCAGTACCTAAAGGGGACCTGCAAGAAAGCTGGAGAGGGACTTTTTACATGGGCGTGGAGTGATAGGACAAGGGGCAATGACTTTAAACTGAAACAGGGTAGATTTCTACTAGATCTAAGGAAGAAATTCTTCATTCTTAGGGTGGGGAGGCACTGGAACAGGTTGCCCAGAGAAGTTGTGGATGCCCCATCCCTGGAAGTGTTCAAGGCCAGGTTGGATGAGGCTTTGAGCAACTTGATCTAGGGGAAGGTGTCCCTGCCGTGGCAGCGAGGTTGGAACTAGATGATCCTTAAGGTCCCTTCCAACCCAAACCGTTCTATGATTCTATGATTTTGTGATTTTCATCCCAATATTCTGTCTGGTGAGAAAAAAAGCGGGGAAGGTACTGTTGAATGTTTTGTCATTTCAGTTTTCTTCTTGAAAACAGAGGGCAAAATACCTGCCATGAACACTGCTGGGAACCAAAGCAACCTGCTTCTTTTTTTTTATCCCCCCCACTCTCTAGTCTTTCAGAAGTGTGACATCCAGAGCCTGTCTGAAGATCAGGAGCTGCGGAATTGGAGAAAGACTGAAACGAATGTTATAGCACACACTGTCTCTCGCACGCACGCACACCCACACTCCCACGAGCAAGCACGTGCGCGCGCACACTCGCACCCCACCTCCCGAACTCTGTCCCATGCGTAGTGTACCATTCTGTGAAGTACTGCGGTGCCACCAAGAGCAGCCGAGTCCCCTCGGCCTCCGGACCCAGAGCCCATCCCTGCGGCTCGGCGTAGGACGGCACCATATGTATGTTCTTGGTCACACAGTAGTTGCATCGTAAGTTAACAAAGGTAATTCATTAACAGCGTTGATCGGGCTGTGCATGTAGTGACTGGAGGGCATAATTAGCCTTTCACCATGGTTAATAAGTGTTGCACACGTTCATATAAACCGGTATATGAAATATATATTCTTTTGGTTTTATCTTAATTTCTTGGTTTGTTTATTGCTTTACTAAGGTTTTCCTCCTTTCCCCCTTCCCTGCGCCTGCCCCCCTTCCCCAAAGACAAAGGAATCAGTAACATAACATAAAGATACTTGAAAATGATGTTAAAATGTTGTGCTTGAAGGGAACCGTTATTCCTGATGTTCTTCTACATCTTTGATTCTTACTCAGTGTTGTATGCCTAGTGCGTATCCCGGTAGGCTTTGTCTAGTGCATTTTGCCTCTGAACCTGATCCTGTGTAATACTGTTATTAAGCTGTGTGGTTGCTTACTGTGAAGGCAGGAATTTTGCTTCCTTTATTTTTATTAGGTAGTTATGAACTAATTGAACTGTGCTGTACTGCGGCCTTCATACTTTTTTCCTGTTCTTTCTTTTTCTTTCTTTTTACATTGAGGTTGCAGCCACCAAATACATCGTTGAATCAAATCGAAATAAAAACACACACACACACAAACACACACACAAAAAAAAGTCACAAAAAAAACCAGGCATATGAAATATTTTTGGGGGAAAGCAAAAGTTTAAAATCTTTTTAAAAAAAATAGGACTTTTTTAATAATGCCTCTGTCTAGCATGCCAACGAGAATGCATTGATATTGTGAGTATTTGTGATATACGTATTAATAAATGGAACCATTACAGATTTCTAGGCGCTTCCTTTTCATTCTTTAGTAGTAACAAAACTCTTTTGAGGGGGGACGTGAACACGAAACACAAGTGCACAGCTTGGAGTGACATGTCTCTATGCATATTTTAACAACTAACTCGCAT